GAGGTACAGGGGCAGTGAAAGGATTCACCAGAGACAGAACAGAGAGCAGAACAGGCAGATCAACAAAGCACACTGCTGAGGGGAGCAGCAGGCGAGACAGGAGAGGTCTGCTAAAGCCATGTGCATCACCTCCGGGGCTGGGGATAAAACTTGCAATGAAGTAGCTGTGGCAAGTTGCAGTATTGCATTTTAACTCATTGTACCACCAGGGAGGGCTCTCTCTCTCTCAATACATACATACATATATATATATATATATATATATATATATATATAGGTTTTATATAATGACGGGATGTGTTGGGTTGGCTTCTCCACAGGGTGCTTTCCTGGCTATTTAAGTTAGGTATCCATTCCCAAAAATGACCAGAATTAAAAAAAAAAAAAAAAAAAAAGCTAATGATAAAGAACTACCAAGAAAAAGATGGATATGGCTTTTTAAAGTTTGTGTCTGCTGTCAAGTTCATGAATTTAAATAAGAACATAAATACAGTGAAAAGAGAAATGAAAGAATGCTACCATAATCACAGACCTATGGATCAGTCATATAAAACTATGAAAAAAACAAGAAAAAAATTCTTCTAAAACCTGATACAGGTAAAGATTTGAAGGTTAGTTAGAGCCCTCTAAAACTGTTCATATTATTCAAAAACTGGTTTATTCTGTTCTAGGTCGTTTATGCATTTTCGCCTGGAACTTAAGAGAAAAACACTCAAAAGCCACCGTGGCTCATCCTTATTCTTAGGAAAAAATACTTCCAGTGTTCTGGGGCAAAAGAACCATGATTATGTGAAACATACTCTCATATTTAAAAAAAGAAGAAAAAAGCCAAGAGGGAAAAATATTACTAACAGGTGAATCTCAACAAAAGGCTTAAGTACTATTCATCTTCTTCCAATTATTATTTTCAAGTAAAAAGGAAAAAAGATTCACTCATAGTGTTACATGTTGTTATGATCCAATCATTTCACTGTTATCACTACAGCATCTATATATTTGGTTATATTACTGCTTATGAACATTTGAATAGTTCCCAGTTTTTTGCTATTATCAGGTGTGGATAATCTTGTGCCTATTTTCTGAATTATTTGTGAATATTCTCTTCAGTAATGGTTGTCTAGAAGGTACACAAAATAACCAATTTTCTAAGAAATGGCAAACTATGTCCTCAGATGATTGTATCAAGTTAATTGTACAAAAGATTTTGATGATCTAACTTTTCCCCAATGCTTAACATCAAACTTAATTTTGCCAAATGGAAGAAAATATTTTGTCTTTATTTGCTTTTCCCTTATTAATTAAAAAGCCTAAATATCCTTTTAGATATATATATTAAATAAGCCAAATTTGTTTCCTTTCTCATGAGATGCCTATACATAGTTTCACCACATTTTTTCTACAGAGCAATCAATTCATTTTTCCTTAAGTAAATTTAAGTAGTTTTAAAAAATATATTCTTGATATTAATCCTTGGTCATTTATGTTGACATTTCTCCAAGCCATGTTCTTTCACTTTCTTTTAAACACTAATGAACAAAATTTAATCTAGTCAAATTTTACCAATATTTCCTTTTCTAGTTAGTAGTGCTTTGTGTCTTGATTAAGAAGTAATACTCTAACCAAGGCCTGAAACTACACATCTGAGAAAATATGACCTCTAGATACCAGAAGCTTTGATGTAGAATCATCAAAACGGACAAATTAGTACCCTAAATAATAGTTAAAAAGCAGAAAAACTCCTTGATATGACAGCTGGAAAAATCAAATTTCACTACTGACATAATACATTTTACCAGCTTTCTCACTCTTCCAAGGTTGTGAAATCACTTGACAAGTCAAGTCGATTTACATCATGACTCTCCTATCTCCACAAGTGCAATGGGAAGAGAACATGCAACTAATCTCAACTAACATCACTTCCTGGCTTAAAGATGACAGAGGAAAAACAAGTCAAAATAAATCTTAAAATGTTTTTTCCCCAAAAAAGTTACTAACAAAACTTAAGTGTGAGTCCAGATTGTGGCTGCCAATGGTCAGACAAGGGGGAAGGATTTAAACACAAAAGAATAGTACAAGATAGTTTTGAAAGTAAGGTTGAGGTATTCTGTATCGTGACTGTGGTAGTAGCTACACAAACCCACAAAAATGTTAAAATTCACAGGACGATACACCCCAAGTGAATTTTACAAGATTTTTTAAAGGAAATATACATGGATAGTTATAGAAGCTTTATTTACATTCCCCCAAAACTGAACACATCCAAATGTCCTTCAAAGAATGGATAAACAAATTGTGTAAATTCATACAATAGAATACTATCTAGTAATTAAAAGAAACAAAGAATTAATAGCATAACATAGGTGAACTGCAAAGAATTATGCTGAGTGAAACAAATCAGTTTTAAATATTAGTGTGCAGTTCCATTTATATATCATGGTAAATGTTACAGAATAGATCAGTGGCAGGAATCTGGAGAGGAAGAGTAAAGAAAACTTCAAAGATAAAGAAGTAACTAAAAGGAATATACAACTTTACTGCACACAAATTTTAAAAATAAGTTAAAAGGAGATGGAAGAGGAGATAGAAATAAGCTTGAAATAGCCATCTCTCTGCACAATAAAGTCAAGATGGACTCTGGATTAAGGGATGTAAAAGGAAACTAGATATATAAGCAAACTAATACTATTAATGAAGAATTTAAAACCTCACAAACCACACAATGAACACAAAAACAAATCATCAATATAGAAAAGTTGAACAGTGAAAAACTCTCCAAAATGGAGAAAAATGATAAAGGTAAGAATCAATGAATGAATGACACTAAAAGACAAACACTGAACACAGTTTAACATTAAAAAAAAATAAGTTAAAAATTAAAAGAGTAAGGTAAACATCAGAAACCCATGTTGAGCACATTCCATATATTAGTAGTACATGTTTATAATGAAAGTATGTATGCTTATACACTGTTCGACAGTAACCACCATTTACAAAGAAAGACTATTTAGGGTGACCTCAGACTAACAAAATTAAAAATAATACAAAACCATAAAACTAAAAAGCAAAGGCTAAATGAACAGACTCAAGTTTTATATCTAAATAAACGGTGGTTCACATAGCATAGTCAAAGACATATTTTTGATCCAAAAGTACTTAGTAAGTATAACATACACGAAATAACTTGTTCTAAAAAAATAACAAAAAAGTTAGATCTAAGATTCAAAATAAGCATGCACATATAATATGACTACCAGTAAACTATTAACAACTTAAATGTAAAATTAAGAGTCTAAAAATCTATGAAACTTAAATAACTTGTATAGATGAGTACAGAATAGTATGTAACTGTCATAAACAATTCCTCACCTATAGAATATTCAAAATAAACACTACAACTGTATTTTCAGGTTGGGTAAGGAAGAAATGTGGAAAGAAACACAAAGGGTTACCTGACTTTTTATTAGTGATATGAGAGAAGTTTATAAAATATTTTTTTTTTGCCATCCATCTTTTTCTTCCTGTAATTTCATCCCATTTTCAGTGGAATCAACTGTCAGAACAAAAGTTCCCAAATCCACATTCCTCCAACTGACTGCTCAATCACATAATAATCAACACAGAAGTTCAGCTAAAACTAGCACACCCTAAAAAAGAAAATCTTCACTTGCCCCCACTTTCATAGCTCGTCATTTCTCAAAGTCTACTACAACAGCAGTTACAAGAATTCAAATGCTGAACTCCAAAATCCAGATGCTGCTTTTGATTCCCTCCTTTTTAGAAGGTTGAGCAGGTCCTTAAATAATCATTTGTATTATTCCAAGGCAAAGTTTCTAATAATTCAGTGCTATCAAAATCAAATGAGGCACTTATTTTAAAAAGGTTCATACTACCAGATGCCTTATCAAATATCAGATTTTCTTGGGGAAGCGGGGGTCCTCAAGAATCTGCATTTTTAAGAAGCACCCCAAATGGTATTTACATACCCTAAGGTTTGGAAATTACTGCTTTAACATTATTCACCACTGAAGAATGTTGATTTAAAGAGTTCACTCTTGTATACAAAAACCAGAAGCCACAAGTGCACAGACAGAAATGAATCATTGATATGCTATATCCAAATACAGTTAGGATACTGCCTTATCTTAATTTCTACAGAGAGCTTTCCATAGTTAACGAACATAACTTATTGGAAATGCTTCTAACTTTATCCTTAGCTTCATCTGAAGAAACATGTAAAGAAAATCTGCTAGTTGCCCACTCTTCCTCCCCAAAATAGGATACCAATTTTCTTTTGTAGTTTGGAACATAAAGTATTTTTTAGTCCTTTTATTCTGTTGTATGCTCTGTGGTCAAATCCCAGCCAGTATGATGGAATCATAAAATGTATAAATTCAGAGATGAAGTCTCCCACAAAGCCCCACAGAGAATAAACAAAACCAGAAATCAAATTCTAGTTCAATCTTAAAGCCCTTTTCTTCCCAATTCAAAGCTACCTTACTAAAAGTAAAATTTTCACCATATTTTGTAATGGTGCTTTAAGTGTACACATTAAAAAAGGGCTCCAAGAATTTTAGAGAAAAAGAGATATTTTGTTTCTCATGAATACAACAAACTTTCAAAAAACTGATAGTTTCAAACTCTAAACATTTCCCTGAAAAATTAAGATTAGTCCTTAAGAGTGCTTCACTAACATATAAATCTGCCTATTGATAAATGCAGAACTCACTGAGCTTTGATGAACAAAACTCAATGGGCTTTTTGCCCTCAAAAGGGTAAAGAGTAGGCAAAAGTAACTCAGAAGAAGGGCTACACTAGGAAAGAAAAGAGAAAATGAGTCAAATATGGCATCGTAAAGGAATTTATGGAGTTTTAAGCTTGGTTCCTTCCCAGCACAGTTCTTAAACACAGAAAAAAGTATTAATAGACACTGAAGCATACCCATCCATGCCCACCATTCCCAATAAAAAGACCCTTACACACAAAAACTACTAGACTCTTACCCTACGCATGGCTTCCTCCTCTTCTTGACGCTTTTCATAATGTGCAAAGTCATCAAAGATTGAGGTGGTATGCTTGAAAGTAGCAATTATTTTAAGCACTTGCTTAGCTTTCTCTAGGGGTACTTCTTGAGTGTCCCTTGAATTGGTAACTGGTTTGTTGTCATTATTTTCTAAGCGAATATGCCGTAATTGATTATTGGGAACATCTTTGACAAAGATCCATTTAACTTCAAATTTGCCCTTCCACTTATCCTGAGACCAGACACCAGCATATGCATTATAGTCCACAACAGACTTCATTTCAGCCACTCCACAAAAATGTCCACTACCATTCACGCTGAAGAGTAAATAGAGTGGACCTTTCCCATTCAAAGAACGGTACGCTGCATCCAAACGCTTATTACCATGCTCAGTACTACACCAGATAGAGTACTTAATGGAACGATGTATGTCATCCTCAGAATAGCTTTTAATTATAAACACACGTCCATTCTTCAGGTTCCAATCAAAGTCTTTGGGATTATAGTTGTTTATGGCCTTTAGCTTTTCCAGCACTGGATGCACTTCTACACTGGAGGGTGAAGCGCTGACAGGTACAACACCTAAACCAAAGTTTTCACCGCCCGCGCCATTGTTCTGGTTGAAGCCAGCTCCCCTGTTCCGAGGAGCTACCCAGCGATTCTGCAACTGTTGCTGTTGTGGCTGCACTTGGTGAGGCTGGGCCTGTGGCTGAGGTCCTTGTTGCTGCTGTGGTTGTGGTGGCTGAGGCTGCTGTTGAGGCAGTTGGCTTTGCACCAATGGTGGTGGTTGAATTAATGGCTGAGGCTGCTGGATTATAGTTTGAGGAGGCAAAACTGGTTGGGTTGGTGGAGCCTTTACCACTGATCCCTTTTCATCCCAAGTTCCAATATTCATGTTGTGTTTTATAGGAGGGGGTGGCACAGCAGAACCCCCAATTCCCACATTGCCCTTGGGTTTCAGTTTCGGTTGAGGTTTGGCAGGCTTTCTGGCAATAGCAGCCCAGGAGGTTGGTTTAGGTGCTGCACTGCTAACTGGGGGCACACTATTAGTTGCCATGCTAGTCATACCACCGCTGCTCAAGGCTGTACCTACAGTTTTTGTCACTGCTGCTGTCAGGTCACCACCAATTTTCAGTCCAGTCATGCCTTGCTCAATACTGCTAATACCAGGCACCTTACTCAAAGTATCACTGCCAAATCCAGCCTGTCCATCAGTAATAGCTCTCCCAAGAGAACTAGGTGGATAGCCATAACTGCTACTATAAGCAGAACTTTGTGTTGATTGTCCCTGAGATCCACTTGTCCCCCATGTAGAGAAATCAGCATTACCAGGAAAAAAGTTAAATCCATGTTGACCAAGAAATGGAGGGGTATTTCCTAATGCCCCAGGTTGACTAAACACACCATCTGGTATATAGTGATGTTCTCCATTACTCATTTGTCCATAAGTTGTCAGATATGGCATAGGTTGGTCGCCAGCTGTGGACCATGCCGCTTCCCCAAGAGAATATGGAAATCCAATAGATGGAGCATAGTAACTAGGCATGTATGGATCTGACATTGGTGGATAGCTGTTACTCTGGAAAACAAAAAGCTACAATCAGGATCAAATGTCCCAGATAATTTAAATTAAAACTTCAAACCCAATGTTATAAACAATAAAATTTGCTGATGAATAATTTTATTTGAAAATATTTGTTGTAACACTTTATATTGGAGGAATGAAGTGGGAAATAGGGATTTTTTTTTTTAAGCCAGATCCTCTGGTATTATTTAAAACTGTTGTTAATTTCTACCAAAAAATTCTGCTTTATAATTTTACAGGCACTAACTGAGCATATACAGTAACGAATGTATCCAAACTTTATGTGCAAGGATTAAATAAATGTGTACACTGACAAACTGTAGTCACTGTTATCTATGATGGAAATCAGTTCTGAAGTTAAAATTTGTATTTTCACAAAGAAAATATCAAATGGAAAAATGCTCACACTAAGAAAAATTAGGCTTAAAATTATATTTACAAATCCAAACTTGCATATTGTTATGTTTTGCCTTGTTCACTTTGGGGAAAAAAAAAAAGACAAAACCTAAAATCTTTACTATGGTTTCTTAATGGTGGGATTAACAAGGGCCTCTTGCTTTGTTTTTTTTTAGCTTTTTCCCATAGCTTCCAAATCTTAAACACAATAAATTTTATCACTTTCCCCAGAATTACAATTAAATTAAATTTTATTTTAAATATTAATCATTTAATATTTTCTAAAAATAAAGGGACCATATTTTATTAAAGGAGGAAAATGCTCAAATTTGCTTAGTAAGTGTAAAAATTAAACATTTAATATGTATTATATGTATTTGTAAAATTGATGATATACTGTAGACCAATGCTTATAAACAAATTCATTCTGATGATCATAATTAAAACATTGTAATGTAAACCTAATATTGTATTGAATTGCATAATTTGTTCCAAAACAGTATTATATGAAATTTTTGGCATATTATGTCCAGAACAACAAAAATACTGAAAGAATTTCACTTTACTGACATTAAAAATGAGAAAGTAACACTACAAAATGTTTCAAATCACTTGCTAATAGAGTGGGTAGGAAAAAAACAAATTCTCAAACTCATGTACAAACTTCCTGCACGGTTATCATGCTTTGTCACAATTTCTTTCAACAGAACTGTCATCCCCTTTTTAAAACACTTTTTAGGACTCAAGGTTACAATTAGCACATTAACTTTATGCAACTGAACAAACACTTGTGTTAAGATAATATGGGGAAAAAATACCTTCACTTAAAAAAAAATCCCTTTGGCAAAAGATCATGAAAAGGTATATAGATAACAAAGTTAAGTCCTAAGAGTTCTTATCACATAGAACATTTTTTCCATTTTCTTTTCATTATTTTCTTTTGGTTATATTGAGGAATAAATGTTAGCTGACATTATCGTGCTACCACATCACTATATATGTAAATTGAACATCACACTGGATGCTCTACACTTTTACAGTAATGAATGTCAATTACTTCTCAATAAAACCCGAGGGAAAAAAGAATGATTATGCAGAGGGAAACCTTAGTTGTGTATAAAAATGGAGTAACTATGCTCTTCAAATTAATTTTAAGGATTTGTCTTGAAAATGGGTTTCTTATGCTAAAAACATGTCTGATAATACTTTCACTCTTTGATTTTGGTGTGACTTTGAAAACCTTAGTCAAAGACTCAGAATTTGTAAAATTAAGCAAATCAAAAAAAACCTAAGTTAATATCAAGCCAGGATAGAGTACTGCCCTTGCAAGAATCCATACTATTTATTCAATTTATACAGACTAATTCTGTTAAGTTCCCTGGAACAAATTCTTTAACCCATTTTTGTTTTTAGTTATGGGGCTATTCTGGCAATGCTTTCCCACTCAAGAAAGTGTTTCAATATGCATATGTTCTAGGAGACTCCAAGGTGGCCTAAGGATTAAGTCTCAGAGTTATCACCTTTAGGGTCTGAGTTTGATTGGCCTGAATTTGAGCCCCAGCCAGGGAACTAAGCCCCATAGGGTGCAGCAGACCCCTCCTGTCATCCCCATTGCTCCTCTCCACAGTATATTTCAGTAAATCTGCCTGTTCTGCTCCCCATTCTGTCCCTGGTAAATTCTCTCATTACCCCACACCCCCAACCTCTGTTCTTTACACCAGTTCTTCTAAGCAGAAACATAAAAAAAGTAACAATAACATAGTTAACAAGATTTCATAGATACTATCTACTTGTGACAAACTTCACAATTGCTACAAGTATCTTTGAAAAACCATTGTTTTCAATTTCTACCAGCAAACTGATGTATCAAAACGCTAGTATTTTATCTTTTTTTTTTGAAGATTTATTTATTTTATGCATACAAGAGCTGGAGTATAGGCCAGAGGTTCAGGGCACGAGAAGATTCACCAGAGACAGAGTGGGGGGCAGAGGGCAGGATAGGAGAGGTCTACCATGCCATGTGGGTCACCTCACTGATTTGAACTCGTGCTGCAATTGCTGCAACTAGCTTGACAGTGCTGTACTTTAAATTGAAATATATTTTACCTTTTAAAAATTATTTTCATTTAGTTATGACTGGAATCTAGCTAAAATAACTTGGGAGAATCAAGTAGACACCATGAAAATTATGATATAAATTATTTCCAGTAAAACTTATATTTAATAACAAAAACAACTGTCATTAAATTATCTGATAAAAAGCATACTGCTTCGTAATGCCAAGGAACTCACTGTGATATAAAATTCTATAAAGTTTAGTAAAAAGTACAGTCATTTACACAAACATAATTAGATATTTAAATTTATCTTTTCTAACTTTAATGCTACTAAACATATACTTTTATTTTTCTTATTTTAACCTAACACTATCTAATATTACATTATGAAAAAAAGAGATATACTCATTCCAAAAGAAAACTTATGAGTTACAAAAATATATACCACAGGGAAGTAAATAAATTCTGCATCACAAAGTAGGAGAGCTGGATCAAATAAGGAGGAAACTAGTATCAAAGCTTTTAAGAATGTTGTCCCTGAAATTTTATTAAGTTCTTACGTGGATAAAGGAGTAGAAAGCAGCCAGTTAAAAAGTTTTTAAGTTCATTCATAAAGTGTTTGCAAATTTATAATTATGATGAATATTGCCTCACTACCATAAATGCTGATTTTGTGCAAGAGTTATATATCAAGTTTCTAATTTGTCTATACCATGTGTGACTTGGGTTAGCAAGTTAACTATGTTTCACAGTTCAGATACAGTCTGTCACATAATGGCCCATATCATAAGGGTAGAACTAACAACTACTAGTAATGATTTTAACATAGCTAAATACAAAGCCAAAAATTTCTCTGGGTTTGATCTATCTTAAATAAATGAAGCAATTTAAACCACCATACCAAAATATTAAACACCTTTCCAGGGAAAATTTCACTCTTATTTAAAATGTGAAAAGCAAATAAAAGGATTTAATTTTAAAAACACATCATGTATTTAGTTGGAAAATTTTTAAAATTCTTCAGCTATAAATATGCAAATTACTTGAGATCATTTTGCCAATAAATCAAATTTACTTATCTGCATTAAAAGGGCAAGCTTTGAAAATATTTCTAATTTAGTTAATTAGGAGAAACTTAAGTTTCTGTACAACTGACCTCTAAGTTTTCACTTAAGTTTCATTTTTCTCACCAATAAGTCCAGTTTTCAATGTAACATTGTGAAAGCTTTACAATGTTAGTACTCTTCAAAAGTTATAGTAATTACTTTTAGTATTTTATAAAGTTAGCTGCTGAACCTTATTCAGTGGTATTGGCAAGGAGAACAAGAGAAAATAAAGCCTTACTGTCATCAAACCTTAAAATTCTTTAAGTAGCACAAGAATGTATTGACTTAAATATCATGAATTAAAAATAATAATATAGAGAAAAAGATATTTCCATTCAGGTATCACATTAAAATAAATATTTTAAATCTTTAAAACAAAGCTTTCATCCTATATAAAAATTGTAGGATAAAAATTTAAAATTGGGTCCACAAAGGCAAATGCTTTTATGTCCTTAAAAAATAAGTTTCCAACAACTGTAAAGTTTTTTTCCTACAAATGAAATGGCTTGCAGGATTTCAATATAACTAACAGATAAAATACAGAACAGGGGCTCTCCCTGGTGGCGCAACAGGTTAAAGCACCATATTAGAAGCTCTCCGAAGCCACTGCAGCAGGAGTTCAATTCCCAGTCAGGGAGCTGCTCCCCCATGGCATGGCAGACCTCTCCTGACCCACCAGCTGCTCTCCTCAAAAGTGTATTTCAGTATATCTGCCTGTTCTGCTCCCTACTCTGTCTCTGGTGAATCCTCTCACCCACCACACCTCTAGCCTGTACCCTAATTCTCTAAGCATAAATAAATATTTTAAATAATAATAATAATACAGAACAGGCTCTGGCTGCCACATGGGTAGGATCCAGGGTGCTCTACCTGGTCTCCACTAGGTAGATCCTGTAAGATGCCACAAATCACTCTTCTAAGCCTTTGTGACAAATGATTTGTAAATTTGTTAACATATAACACAAGAGATTCTTATAGGTAGTAATTCTCATGCATTTACATGCCACTAGAATTCATTAAAGCCACAGGTTGCAGAAGTCAAGAGAATTTTCATACTGTATCCACATCTTAGTAATCTACTTTACATAAAACACAAAGTATGAAATTATGTAAAAAACCAACTGAGTAGGCCACATGAATTTTCCAAATTTATTTGATCATGGAGTCTGTATGATCATGGATTGTTTGGGAGATCTGCTATGGCTCAAATTAAAAACAAACACACCTCTCCCTCAGAATTCCTCAAAAAATTTAGGAAACACTACCATAAGAGATTTTATCTGAGATTACTATATAGGCTAAATATAATGTATGTTTTTTTTTTCTTTCTTTTGGTTTAAATTTTATTTCTTTCAAAACCTATAGTACAATTCACAACAAATGATCTTCCTTTACTACTTTCCAGTGATACCTTTCACAGCCTTATAAGTGGAAAATAAATTTGTTACTGAGATAATAGATTATATATGTGAAATAAATTTTTTCAATCTTTTAGGTGAGCCAAATTTTCAGATTTTTATTGCCAATTTTTGTTCTCATGTATGCATTCCCACTCATTTATGTACGCTAGGAATGTACAGTAACAGAAGTGAGTGGTAAAGAGAAATGACCAAGAGGTAGATACAGTTGAATACAATTTGGCTCTCCACAATCCTAAAACTAGTGCTATTTTCCACTAATTTGCAATTACTTTTTGTTAAAATTTCCTCTACAACTGTAAAGTTCACTAATAACATGATTCATTTGTTTTCTTAAAAAAATTAGAAGATTTCCAATAATTTTTCATCTTTTTTTTTTGAAGATTTATTTATGTATATAAAAATTGAGGTACAGAACACAAATGCAAGGGGAGTGGGAGGATTCACCAGACAGAGTGTGGAGCAGAACAGGCAGACTGACTAAAATATACTACTGAGGGGAGAGGTGGACGGGACAGGAGTAGTCTGTTGTGCTCTATGGGTCACGCCTGGAGAAGGGGATCTAATTCCCTTCCTTAGCTTTATGGTGCTGTGTTTTAACCCGCTGTGCAACCAGGGAGGGCCATCATCTCACTTTTAAAGCAAAATGACAGCACCATGACACAAATATCAAACACTACTATTTATTTCTATTTCCTGTTAGAATTCACAACACTATCTGTAAATATCTGAATACAAGTCACCAGTTATTTGAGTTGATGAAATTATCCATGCTTACCATATAAAAGTATGTTTGTCTCTTTTTCTATCCCCTACATTACCAAATTATATTAAAACTTTAATTAGCAATGAAACTCAAATTGGAATGTCAAATTGGAATGTTTTAGTAGGAAAAAAATTACATTAACTAAGAAATGCAGGCACAAATTAGTCCTCTTGTAAATTTCTTATCAAATCTTGCAATATGCTTTGACTATGACATTGCAGTGACAACGATTAAAACCTTTCAACATTCAAAAAAATCATAACCACAGTATATGTGTTGATCTTCAAATTAGTTTCAGTCTCACCTATAATTTAAGAACTCTCTTATGCCATAAGTCTGCAACTACTTACATGCAAACACACTAGATTAATTCATGTTGTTTGTCTCAATTAATATATCTGTTTGAAAAAAAAATTAGCTAATGCTATTAAAATTAAAAAATTAAAAGTCTAATTTCCCAAATATGGGACTGTCAGAATACTTACCTGATTTGTCTGGCTACTTAAGTATGGCTCAAAATCATCATCATTTACAGCATCTTTTTGATGAATCGAACCGTTTTGTACTGAAACTAAAAAATATGTTTGTATTAGATGTTTTATAATTATCTTTATGAAACTCATAGAAGTTAATGTTCTCAGCATTTTTAAAATTAACTCAAAATGTATCCCTAAGTTTATTTTTTTTTCATTAAAAACCTTGTTAAGGATTAACTTAATTTTTAATACAAATATTTACATGCCATCAAATCTTTTTGTGATATAAGTCCAACATTAAATAAACACAAACTCTATATTTTCCTATTATCAAAAACATAATGCAAATATCCCAATTTCAACACATATAAATTAAAATGTTAGAAGGCGTAGCTAACCTATACTTAAACCTACTTCAAAGAACATAGACAACAAAGAGATTTCTAAATCTTCTCTACCTTTATTTAAATCTCTATATGATGTCCAATAAAAGATAAGGAACTCAAGTTACAGCAAATATCTAAAATGTCTTCAGTTAAAGCAGTAAAATTCACTTCGAGCAATATCAACATGAATACAATCATGAAAACTCTAAATCAAAAAGCCTTAGTAAGAAACCAAATATTGTGCTTATTTTCAAATTAAAGTACAAATAAAATTAAGACACAAACAATAGCCATGGTTACTCTTACAATCCACTGAGAAAATCAGCCAGAAAGTAATTTATAAAGCCACATTTGTTCAGAGATCATTTCCATAATGACCTACCTCGGAGCAGACTTAGGGCTTTTGAGCAGATCAGAGGTCCTGATTGGAACCCCAAGTCCCACTCTAAAAAGCTAGTTAGTAACTTGGGCTCTTTAACTTGACTGCTTGTCTGTTCAAGGTTATTAATAGAACCTATCTCATGTCCTCTGAGTATTCAATGTCAAATATCAATAATCTTGATTATTATTATTACACAGATTTTAAGCTATAAATAGCAGTAAGAATTACTGTTAAGTCCAAGTAAATGCAAGTTTTACAAGGTAAAAATCTGTGTGGCTATACTTTCTAAACACAAGGTGAAAACAATGAAAGGTTCTGATGGATGTTAACTAATCCCTTCAAGACTTATTGCTTAAAAATACAGTACTACAAAATCTTACAAATTAAGATTGGGGGCAATGGATTTAAGATGTGTTTCTAACATTCCTATTTTTGCAAATTTAGATCACCTAAAATGTAGTGAGTCAATAATGGCATGGAAGCCAACATAGGTGAAATCATTGATTTTTGCCACTCACCAAGTAGTAATTATCACTTAAAAATGATGCAACTCTATGAAGCCTCCCAAGCAGTCCTCTTAATGATACTACATTGCCCCTCAAAGACTACAAAAGCAACCGTAGGGTTAATTTGACCCTGACTACACTGTAGTTTAACTATTTAATAAGGGCTGCATCAGAACTAGGGTTGAAGTAAATGTGTTCCCCATAAATTAAAATTTAAATGTGACACTAGAAGTAAAAATAAGAGGGTAACTTGTTTCTATGGTTAATAATTTCTACCTGAGATTCTGACATACCTATTTTCCTTTGCCACTGGCTATTACACTGATACTTACTAGTATCTGAAATAGTCACCTATTTCAAAATCAAACCTACCTATTTCTTCTATTCATTAGCATCTGAGAAATCCAGTTCAAATTGCTAATAGTTTAAAATTTACCTAAATACTAATTATATTGCTAGCCTTACTCATTTCCTCTGTTCTTTTCCTAATTCTAAACTCAGACTAAGAACAAAATATTCTGATATACTACGTAAATACATTCTAGTCATTTGTAAATGATGTATAAATGTCTTTAAAAAAAATTCCTGAGATATTATTCAAGGAGTATGTCAATCTAAGAAAAAAAATGTTTAATTAAAAGTATTTCACGAATACTGACAACCAATTTGCATTAAATTAGAATCTGAATAAGCTAGCCCTTGAGTTTCATAAGCGTATCTTTAAGAAATTTAACTGTCTTAAAGACTCTAGTTTTTGAACATTACTTAGTGACAACCTAATGTCTTGGAGACTGAAAGTCATTAAATAGTAATGAAATCCAAGCCAGTTCCATAGTCTGTACAAGTTCTTCAGGGAAAAAAGAACAGATGACTTACATGATTCTTCGCCTGTTTCCTCTGCTCTATGAAGCAGAGTCAAATCAAGATAGAACATGGGCCTTAGGAGCCAGGTGATTCTTTGCTCTGGTCCTGACTACATCAAGTTAGGAAAGTCAACACATCTGTGCATCATGTTTTCCCACCTACAAAAACAGCGACAATACCATATACCCACTATCTCCTTATAAGAATGTTTTGAGGATTAATAAAATGAAGTCTAAAATGACAATTAAGTGCTTTGCAATCAATTTTTGAAGGGGGTGGGGAAAGGATACAAAAGAATATTGCCAAAATGCAAGGCATTTCCCATATTTTCAAAACATTAGAAGATAGCTAAATTCAATCTAACTCTTTGAAGCTGCACTTGTAAATACAAAAAAGAAAAAAGAAAGAAAAACGTTCCACTTTTCCCTCCATTCAGAGGGGGAGGAAAAGGGAAATCCCTTTCCATAAATTTGCCTAGTTATAAACTTAAGACAAGAGGAAGGAGGCAGCAAGACTTGCGACTACAGGCAATAAAAAACCTGACATGTTCATCTCTGTTAACAAGGAAGACAACAGCACTCTCCCTCCAGCAAACAAAAATTTTACTTGTTAATAAATAGTATGTAATAAGGTCAGCTTTAAATTATGGTTCAACAGATAGAATAAATAGCCTTTAATATCCTCAGTACTACCATAACCAAAGATAATAGATATTCTGATATTTAACATAGGGACATCCATTAACAAAAACAATAAAGACTCATAAGCTAGTATTATTTATACTACACCCAAAGTCTTTTTAGCATTACAAAGAGATCAAAAAGCATTGGTTTTATAACTTAGTCCCTTTAGTGACTTTATGTCATTAAGGATATACAGAAACACTTTAGCAGAAAATCAGACACTAAAGTCAGGTGCAGGCTGTCAACCAAAGATAATTCAGAAAAGAAATAAAGCATCTGAAATTATATTAAATCAACTGAAAATGATTATGCTTCCAAAACTTCTTAAAACCAACTCAAGGATATGAATGTTTCTTAAGTTTGAGAATGCTGAATTCTGAGGCTGTGGTTCAATAATTTGAGGCTTTTCGCTTCATAAAAATAAACAATTATAAAGTAACTTTAGTAGCGTGAAAACTAAGCCAGGTAAGACAGAATAGTTTTTCTCAGAGTAGTTTTCTCAAACACAGCTATTTGCATCAATTCACTAGGGGTCCTGCCTTCTTGTAATTCTCCCTGCATAGGCATAAAAATATAAGCTTTGTGTCTGTGTGTGTGTGTAACTGGGCCCTTGTAGTATCTACCACTTTAGAATGCATCTTAAATGATTATCAAAACTTTTTTACACAAGTAGTTTTCCCTCCTACACCTTAAAATAGATGAGGTAAGGAAGGTGAAAAGAAATTCAGCAATATAATGTCTGGGGGGGTGGGGGGGCAACTGTAATTACAAGAATCTTCATAACATACAATAGGTTTTATGGCTAAAACAATTATTTTATAAGTAGAGGGAAAAGTCTCACCAAAAACGTAATGTTTTCAAGCTCACTTGGCAAGCAATAGCTTACAGGCAGGATTAAAACACAGGTCTCCTAGGAATCCCAGGCCATCTTTCTATCCAAGAGTGAAATTATAAACTGAACAAGTAAGGAGGAAAGAAAATTTCTTGGAATGAAGAGCTTATCCAAATAAATATTCTGTGTGACTACATCTAACCGGTGATACTGATAAATTTAAATTTTTAAACTAAAAACAATTATCTATAATCAATATAAAATAGTTTATAGATAACTTACATCTACATTATTAAAGATATACCTAAGTGAAGTAAGTATGCCATACATCAAGCAGTAATATAGCACTAGCAATGAAACAAAATTCTAAATGCTCTATTTTGCTTTGTCAAACAAATACTTCATAGAACTTGCACTTACCTTAAAGCAGGTGACACAAAACACTTAGCATTTCAAATAGCCTTGCAAAGTGCCACCTCCCCACAGATCTAGGATAAAATAATTTATGCTAGGCAATAATGACCACAGACTTCACAACTCCAAGTCTATAAACTTCCTAATGGGCAGACTAGCAAAAAAGAAATTAATGGTTGTTTTTAAATTTACGAATAAACTGTAAAAAAAATTAAAATAAATCAACAATACCAAATTCTAAGGTTTATGTATACAGTAAAGAAAAAATCTATATTAAACTCTAAAATTTCTAAAAATATGCACTGCAAGAAAATAATTTTTACACAAAATAAAGCAATAAATTTGCTAATACAGTACCCATGTTATGTAGAAATTCGCAAACTGAACTCAAAGAAAATTAAACTGAATTTAGAACCTATTCCTTTCAAATTTGCAATACCGAATAAAAACTCTAAAAAGACTATAAAAACACCCAAGAAAGGCATTAAACTTAAATCTAAAAGGCTAATACAATTCTTATTTTCTAGGTAACACTTTGCTACTGCAATAAAAAACAGGAAGTATGATTCTATTTAGTCTAATTTCAAACCCTATTACAAAATGTTATAAATATATAATTCCCTGTAATGTTATTTAATTGGCACTGTCCCAAGAAAGCAGTTATTGTTCTATAGTTATTAATGTCATGTGACTAATGTCATATCTCAAGAACTAACTGCATTGTTCTATATAAATACAAAACACTTATTTTAAAAATTGCTTTACTTACAATGGTACTTTCTCAACTAAAGAGCTCACTGTATAACCCTGGCAGAAACCTCACAAATTATCTCCTTTCCAGTTCTTTCTAAAATACCAGATTGAGTCACACCATGCAATCAGGACTACATAACAAAATACCTGCCTATTCAGTTTCATTTCCCATGTGTTATTCCTTCACTGCAACTGGCTTTATTAAATCTGTGATTAACAGTACAGTTTTCATTAAAATGACAAGTATGTGGGTTGCATGCAGACATGTCAAGCAAATATCCACTGCATATGTGGATATATGTAGAATTTCTACATATGTAGAAATTTTTGAGGTATAAGATACATAATTCTGATAAACTACAAATTAACACCAACTTAACCGTAAGAAAACTGTTTTTTTTTTTGTGTGTGCCACTCTGATTTCTATAAAAGTGAATTAAAGGCAAGAAACTACCTAAGTTTGGGGTAGCACCTGGCTGTCTTGGTCGTACGTTTCTCAAATCCTTCATTTAAAAAACAAACAACAACAAAAAAAAAAACAGGGAGCCTTCCTCCCCCCACCCCTCCCAAAAAAAACAAAAAACGAAAAACCTGCACACAGCTTAAAAGTACCGTCAAACCAGCACTGGGATATAAGAAAAAAATATCCAGACTCACCTTTATTTCCTTGCCCTTTAGGTCTCTGAGGCAAGACGAAAAGGTGTGGTAAGGAAAGAAAAAAAAAAAAGGAGAGAGGGAAAGTGTGTTAATTAAAGACGTTATCAAAGACAAGTTATTTTAAACAATCCGCGTAGGAGTAAAACCCACCACATCCTCCATAGCCACCAATTTCCCAACCACCCCCAGTCTTTAAGCCTCCTACCCGCCACCCGGAATCCGTCTCTCGGAGCTCGCCCGGGCACAGCCCCGCGTCAGCCGCCCCAGGAGGCGTCCGAAGGCCCCGAGGAGCAGTCCTCCCCCCACCCACCGCGGCACCGCGTCTGCCCGCCACGGCCGCAGGCTCCGGGGCCAGGGTGCAACCCCGGCCAGGGCGGCAGGACTGCAGCAACTTGCGCCGCGGGCACCGTTATGGGGCCGGCAGCGGCGGCGACGGGGAGGAGCCGAAGCCCCACGCGAGGGTGGAGCTCCGGGGCTCGGGCCTTCGCCGAGCCTGGGCCTCTGCTCCCTCACCTGATCCACGCTAGTGGCTGACATTCTTCACCGCAACCCGAGAGCTGCCGCCGCCGCTGCCGCCGCCGCCTGGGCCTCTCCCCGTGCACTCACAGCAGTTGGCTGCCGCCCTCGGCCGATTGACTGTTCCAGCCGCCGCCGCTGCCACCGCTCGTTGAGAAACCAAAAAGAGGCCCTTGCGCTCGGGAGTCGGTGGAAGGGGCCCGTCTTTTCCGCTTGCAAGCTCCTCTTCCTTCTCGCTCTCCGCTTCTTGGGTCCACAATGGCGGACAGGCTCCCTAGTCTCACTTCCGCTCCGAGCCTGCCTGACCTTCCGCTCTCCACTCTGACGTCCGCGCTCACCTCGCTCTTCCTCCCCCCCACCCTCCCGCCACAGGCCTTGGCTCCGCCTTCGCAACGCCACGTCACTGGAGCCTGGGCCCGCCGAGAGACCCCTAGGCGCATGCGCGGAGAAGTGCGCCTGCTCGGCGGCATTTGCACCCTTTCTGGGTCTAGGGTGACTTCCCCCTGTCCTAGTCGCAGGCCGCTAGGCGTACGTCGGGCGGCGGCTGTAGGAAGCCGCTCTAGAGACACATTCCGTTGCACTGTGGCCAGGAACTGGGAATGAACGGGAGGCGGGGGCTTCCAGTATTTGTAGAGCCTGGCCAAAGGTGCGAGTGTGGAGGCGCCTGCCCGGAAGCTCAGTGGAGGATGGCGGGTTGGCAGCTCTGCCTTCCCGGGTGTGCGAGCAACGGTGGCTGGGCCTCCGCGGGAGCCTCCCGAGGCCATCCTTGGCTACGTGGGCGGCAGCGTGAGTCACTCGCCCTCGGGACAGAGTTCCTGGACCGTCAGCAAGAGCCATCACGTGCAGCGAAAGTGACTTGAGTGAGAGCTTGGCCGCTAACCTTCAGCAGGTGTGCAGACAAGACGTTACTGTCTCCAGACCCCAGGAACATAGTAGCACAATTTACCCTTAAGCAGTGGAGTCGAACTTTACCAGCTCAAGTCTTGAATTGTGCCCCCTCCTCCTAACTTTAAATTATTTTGAAGACTAAAGCCACCTTGGGAAAGAGCATAGTTGTGTAACAGGGTCGTCCCTAGGAAAAACCCGTTACAGTTGCAGGACGTTTAGTTTCAGTAGGCGTTGAATAGTTCCTACAGTTCAGTAGGAACAGTACTTTGCACATTGGCAAGATCAAAGGAGTCGATTTGCGACTTTTTGATTTTTTTTTTTTGGTTGAAATAGCATTTTTGCACTAAAGGCAGATTCCTTGTATAACAGCTCTACATAGAAAAATAACAATTTCAGTGACTAAGTCCTTTCTTTAGAACTATGAAATACTAGTGATCATTTACAAAGTATAAAATTGCAGGATTTTTGTGTTTTACAATGCAGTGATGTTTTAGAAGCTCAGAAGAGGACGAGAACTTTTGAGAGTTCACTGATCACTAGGTCTGATCAGCTTCTGTACTCTGAATGTGCCACAGATGCTAGAGGCTCAATGTGAGCATTCTTCCCTTTTCACAAGTTGCTCCCATCCATCCAGTTACTACTCTGTTTTTCCAGTCTATTCATTCACTCCATACTAAACTTACAGCTTCAGAGAGATCACTAAAACAAATTTCTGAGTGGGGAAATTTAATATACAGAGGGAAGCATGTGAAATCTTTCATCCTTAGTTATCTTTGTTAAAATACGTGGCTCTGGTATCCTACCAATCTGAATTTGAACTTTAAGCTAGAATTTATTAATTAACCTTGTAAATGTCTCTGAACCTTTCTAAGCTTCATGAGTGAAATAAGGTCAGATATTCATGGCACCGAGTAAGCTTTCAGCAAGCTAGGCTGGCTATTCACTGCTAGTTTTATAATCTAAATAACTCCCAGAATAATAAGTAATAACTAACACTCATTGAGTATCTGTTACACACCAAGCATTGTAATGATCATTTAAATCCTCACAGCTTCCCTATATGTTAGTGCTTCAGAAAAGCTGACACACTGAGGTTAAGAAATACGCCCACAATATAATGATTGCTAGTCACTGTGTGAGCCAGGATTTGTACACAGGCAGTTTGGTTTCAGCTAGTACTCATTTCCTCCTTAGCATTGAGTTCTGAACTTGTAGAAAGGGGTGACAGTAACTTTGACATAAACCCATTTAATTTAATAAACCCAATTAATTTGATATGAAATTCTTTTGTGAAGTACATCAGGGGCCCATGGAAAATCACCTCCAATGCTACCAGAAATACACAGATGGTATTCTGGAAAATGCTACTCTAGAGTCAAATTGTAGACAAAATTCTTACACTGAGTCCTGAGTATAACAACCTTCTGGTAACAAAGCATTGTTCAAAACTTGGAAAAGAGGAGGCCCTGAATTATAGCCCCTATTTACCCTTCAGTCTTTTTGGTGTCTTTATTCAGTGAACTTTCATTCTGCAAAATTAGTTAAGCAATGGCCCTGTACTTCTACATGACTCCTTATGTCAATCAAATAAGATTTAGCTGCAGGTGACATCAAGCCCAAAATAACAAGAAATTAAGCTAGTGGTCTTTTTTTTCTCTCATACAGAAGTCTGGAGGTCATCAGTTTAGGACTGGAGCTGCTGTGAATGTTGGGTATCTGGATTTCTTCCAGCCACTTGCTCCTCCATCCTTAGGATAACACTTCCACTATGGTTCCAAGATGGCTGCTTAACTTCCAGCCACCATAATCACACTCCAACAGCCATGCAAGGTGTAGAAAGACATGTGTCTTCCCTTAAGGACATTTTGTAGAAATTGCATTTCCCTTGTCTGCCTGCCTCTTACTCATAGAACTCTGTTTTCTAAAAATACCTTGTTGAAAGAAGTTTATTTAGGGTAACCATGTATGTGCTCAGCAAAAACCCAAAAAGTTTACTACTAAAAAGGAGACAACAGATAGTGAAAGATAATTAACGAGTAATGACCTGTGTGTACATAATTACTTAGATTCACTTCCTTACCTAGCACTGTAGTATTGCTTTTGGGATTACAAATAAATGTTGCTGAGTATGCCTTTGCAAATACAAAATCCAGGAATAATAAAGATCCACTGTATTTAAGGTGACAAGCACAGTGATATAACACAAAGTGACAGATAATTGTTCCTTTCTTTCCTAGGTACAAATGCTAATGTTGAATTATTAAATAAGACCTTTTTATGAGCATTGTTTCTCTGTAATGAGTTAAAAATATCAGAAAGCAGTTTCCTTGCCCTTCCCTGGCTTGGTCTGAGAACTTGGGAGTTCCACTTTGTTTCTATTCCTTCTTTCCTTAATAAACTATTCCTTGTATCTATTTCTCTAAAAAAAAAAAATAATAGAAACAATGTGTAAATTAAACAAAAGTCCATTTGTGGTTGATTGAAAGGGGTAGCCAGATCATAGAAAGCCAGACATAACCTAGCTTATTTGAAAATAAGATTTTAGTTTAAATGTTTTAAAACTGCAACATTTTTGTCGAAACTATCTACCATAATTTCAAATACAGAATGTATATTAAAGAAGATCTGTGCTACCCTGAATTTCACATATGCATCAAATAAAATGTTAAAAGGAAAACTATTCATTTTAATATATAAATGTTGAAAAATTCCAGTTTTATGTTGCTTTTCAAAAGTGACTTGAAATTAGAAACTGTATAAAAGATATTGATACCACTAAGTTAACAATGAAGTAGATGGATTGTAAGAATATTTAAAGAGTTTGTAAATGTCATTCAAAAAATTAGAAAAACCACTGGATTTTTAAAATATAAGATTTATTAAATCTTTATTTAATAAACTTGAATAAAAAACTTCTACAGCTGACCAAAAGACCTTTTTAGAGTAAAAAATAATGTTTTTTATTAATAAGTAATGCCTTCTGTGACTGTAGCACATTTAAAGAGTTTGTCTAATTATAAAGAGAAAAATACACATATTAATATCTCAGGTAATGATTTGTTTCATCTCACTCTTTGAAGCAAGACACGTAGGATATAATTCACTTGCAAAAGAAAATGAGGATAAAAAAGTGATCAGGTGACTGAACTGAAAATTAATATAGATTTTCACATGCGTTATTCCTGTTTCTTGAGTAGGGCTCACCGATTTTTTTGGAAAGGCCTCTGCTTTTTCCCCCAAATAATAACATTCATGTGCTCAGTGCTATTGGAGTTTCATGAGATCAATACAGGCTAGCAAGTGGGCCTTGAGGAGTGGATATTGTATGGGTAATGAAGCGGAAAAACCTAGAGAGTGGGAACATAGTGAGGAGGAGAATGGCAGCAGAAACACAGCAGTGCTAAATAAGATGGGCTAGGGGGGAGCAGGGAGCAAGAATCCTAGAATCGCTGACTTGCAAAGAAGGGCTGATTCTCTCCAAATCACCTTTGTAACCCTTACTCTAACTGTTCTCTCTTTCAGTAGCACAATGGAACTTAACAAGTAAGTTCTCTGCCAGAGTCATAGAAGCATAGCCAATGAGGGTGAGTCACCACCAACTTAGACCCAGTAGGGAGAGTGTGGAAATAAAGTCAACTGTCCTTCACCAATTCGAACCAAAAACTTCTCCCTTATGAATATGGTGCTCCACTGGTCTTGAGCTTTCCTTAGAGAGAAAAAAGGATCAGATACTGCAGGCTTAAGATTCAGAGGGTCAGGGGCCAGTGGAGTAACTGCAGCTATTTTCACTACTGCGGAAGTGAAAAAGTAAAGTAATAATGAGTAACTGGCAGTGGTCCACACCTGGAAATTAACAATCACAGGATGTTGATGGATGCAGAATGAAGGGTTTTAAACTATTCAACAATACTGATAGAATAACAAATTTGGGGGTCACAGTTACAATAATTTTGTATGAAAGTGCTCGATATCATGATCCTTATTGTTCTTCCAGGTAGTTAGCTTTTGGAATCATCTTTTTACTTATACAGATTTCTCTGCCTATAATGTCTTGTCTTAGTAACTTCAAGCTGTTACAACAGAATACCACAGACTGAGTAGCCTATTAACATCAGAAGTTTAGTCCTTACAGTTCTGGCATGGCAGACCTCTCCTGACATGCCCACTACTCCCTTCAGCAGTGCACTTGGTTGATCTACCTGTTCTGCTCTGTCTCTGCTAAGTCCTCTCACTGCACCTGCACTTCTGGCCTGTACCACAGTTCTGTATGCATCAATAAGTAAATCTTTTTAAAAAAAGAAAAAAAGATGGATTTAAGTCCTAAGCCCCAGTACTGTAGTACATGACAAGTTAAAGCAGGCCATTCTATGGGATCAAAAAAGGGATGGGAAGAGAAGTGCACTGGACTATGGTGATGGCACAAGAATGATTTGGTGATGGGAAGCCCATGGAGATTACAATT